CGCCGCCGGCGCCGCCACCCCCGCCCGACCGCGGAAAGCCGGGCTTCTTCAGCGCTCCTCTGCGAAAAGCCCGGACGCCGGCTCGTGCTCGCCCGCCCCGGTCTCCCTGCCGGAGTCTGCAGCTGCTTCTGCCGCAGCTGGCAAAGTAAAAAGTTGACCACTCGCGAGCAGCAGGAAAGCCCGACTTGATTTTACCTTGGACCGGGAACGCTTGCTCTCTTCCCCCCACCACCACCCTCGGGAGGCGCGGGTTCCCCGCCGGCTGTAGTTTTAGGGGTACCGCTTTGTGTTCAGGGGGTTCGTTTTGGATGGATTTGGATTCGGGCTTTTGACAAGGAGAGTCTGGGGAAAATTATGTCAGTGGCAAAGGAATGACAGGTAGTAGAAACGGAGAGGAACCCGGAGGCAGAAGGAAGCGCAGCCTCCTGTGAAGCTGCGAGCGCGGGTCTGCGAGTCTGGCGAAGCTGGGCGCTGCCCGGAGGGAAAGGCTGCCGAAGGGGAAGGGCTCCGAGCCGGGCCGGTGCGCGCCGCCACCGGTTTGCGGGACCTGCGGTCCTTTCTGCAGTGCTGACCCCGCAGAACCCCTAACACTTCGGCGGGGAAAGCACAGTCGGGGAAGCTTCTGCTCCACCTCGCCGCCGCTCCACTCGTCCGGTCCCCCTCGATGCTGAGGGACAGATGGACGCCTGGCTCAACTTCGCGGAGTCGTGCAGGAGCGATCCTCCTGCAGACTGCAAGGAAGGGGGGCTGCGACTGAATTAGGAAGGAAAGGAGGGGAAAAAGGGAAAGTGGGAAGCTCCCGGACGCGGATACTAATTGGAGGGGTGGGGGTGGGGAAAACCATCTAAGGGTGAACAACTGCCCAACCCAGCTGGTGTCCCGAGAAAAGCCACAGAAGACGTACAAAAGGCTTGTTTGTTCCGAACCCAAATCAGAAGCGCCCGCCCTCCCTTTTGTGATTGGCCACCACCTGACTGTTCAGAAAATTGTCGCATTACTATTGGTCAAGGTGAACTGACTTCAGGGCCAGTCAGCAAACCAGCGAGGACTGGGGCTTCGTGCATTTCGGGAAATGTAGTTCTCTATGGGGCTTTCGCATCCCAGGACCCTTCGCTGCACTTAAGACCTTAGAAAATTGTATTTCGTGGTTTAATATTTAATTGAAGTAACCAGTTAATTCTCTTAGGGAAAGAAACAATGAAAAAAAATTGAAGACTTTCGAAAACTATTTCCAAGTGGCTCTGAACTTTTGGTTTAATTTAGTTCCCGTGAACTGTGTGACCACAGTGTGCCTAGGCACCGAAGACTCGCAGATGCGATTCTTACTTTCAGCAAGCTTACCACAATCTCAAAAGGACGAACTTCACATGAAGAAGTAATTGTAAAACAATAACGAGTTCAGCGGTGGAATAACGAAGGCGGAGAACTGAGTGGGGTACTTACTTGGCCAGGAAAGGCCTGGAAATAAGTACTCCGTGCATAGCTGAGGTCAGATGAGTAGAAATTGAACCGGGAACAGGAGGGAAAAAAACATTCTAAGGCGATGGGAGTCTCAGGATTACAAGTATAAATGACTCCATAGGCAAAATTGCAGAACAGAAAGATCATATTCCCTTAGAATTTATAGCCTATCTTTTCACCTAGTTTTAAAATATTCTGTTGAGCAATTTTTCATCATTGGATTATAAAACTCTTTGGAGAAAGGACAATTTACATAGAAGCTTTGTGGTGTAGAGGAAAAATCCTGGGCTTTGTTTATTTTCCAAACATGAATTTCAGTCCATGCTCCAGTAATATGTGCAACTTGGGGCAAATTCCTTAATGTTCCTATGTCCAGATTCTCCATGTGTAAAATGAGATCGCTGATCTTCTTCCTGAAATTTTATGAGGATCATGTAGGAGGTGGGGGAACATGAAAAGTTAGTACTACACTGCTTAGCACTCTGCGGATACTCAAAAATGCCAGTTTCCTGGCGTCTCCCATTAGGATCTGAGAGGTGAAAGGGATTTCAAGAGGTCACTAATTTAAACCTGGTCTATAGTTATTGGTTTCCACAGCTTATCACTGTCATCAGATTATAAACTCATACTGTCATTCCCAAAACTTCAGTTCTTAGAAGAGCCCTAAGATTTGAGATGCCTATAGAATTCACTTTGGGAATTGTAATCCATCCCTTCCAAACTCAGGAAGAGTGGGACGTACCCAGAAATCCATTTGGTCAGAAACACCAATATACCAGAATAGCTGCCATTATGAAAGCAAAGATAAAAGAATGGACCCTTAAGCTCCTGCTATTTAGTACAAATTATTTTGATTATTTTGTTTTTAAAATTATAAGTAAAAGCACAACATGGTGGCACACACCTGTGATCCCAGCACTTGGGAGGCTGAGGCAGGAGGATCATGGTGAGTTTGAGGTGAGCTGGCACTTCATAGAGGGACCTTTCCTCAAACAAACAAAAAATTAATTAATTAAAAAATAAAATTAGAATTGAAAATTTAAAAAGTTTTAAATTAAGTATTTAAAATTTAGAATAAATTGAGTAAAAATTTATATTATTAAAACTTATCACAGAGCAGAAAATTTTACCTGTAATATTCCATCAGCAAAGTTCCTTTTTTTTTATTTTAATGAGTGAATCAGTATGTTGATTCCAAGCAATTCCATAGTTTTCTGCCTTTGGGCAAGTGACATTCTCCTAAATGGAATTTTTCTTACCTGCTTAGTGAAAAATGAACCAGGACATAACGATGTAATAGCATACCACAGACAAATTAAAGGCAGATAGACTACATTTAGCTGAGTCAGGGTGACACTAAACAATATTGAGTTGATAGATGAAAATAAAAATATGATTAAAAAAAAGAATGCACTCAAAAAGAAAGGCATCTCACTACATTATGGAGCATGGAAGGCTAAAGACCAGGAATTCATCAAATTCCCAAATCTGCCATTCCTCATTGCCTGGCTTAAGATTTACTGTATTAATGAAGACTCTCATACTGGTGTCATAGGGGCAGCTGGATGCTGACTGAGATAAAATTGAAACTGAAAATAGATATTTCAATGAGAAATTATTTATTGGCAGAAACTTTTGGGAAGGTAGACTAGGTCTATTTCTCTTATAAGCATTCACTTTTATTGTCTTCATTTCATTTTATCAAGCTCTCAGAACATCTAAGCAGGACAATAATTGCTTCCCTTTGCCATCTAAGAGAGTACTGAATTTAAGCTATTGATAAATGCAGAATAGATGTTAATTAGTGGGTTTGCCTAGTTCGAGCCCCCTTTTCTAAATGGGGTGCTTAGACTCGGCTGCAATGATGCGCCCCTGGGCAACTGTGTGTTAATCACTTAACCCTATTTTGGGTTCCAGTTCATTAGATCAGCACAAGCATGTTGAAATAAACCAAGCCCAGAGCTCATCTTCTTCTGGGAATTTAGAATTGAATAACAACACTGCCAGTTGGCCTGGTCCAGGAGAAATCCAGGTAGAGGCTGAGCTGGGTGGCGTGATCCATTTGGTTACACTGAAGTTGAGAGTGCCTACTCTTTGATGGGTTGTGGGTGTACAAAACAGACACTGTGAGCCCAAAGAGCAGTAACTCCAGGGACGGAGGATCTCCACTCCTGAGTTGCCAGTTTCACAGCCTTACTCCTCATAAAATCTACCTATATGTCTCTTCCGTATTTCTGTTTGAATGGACTTATGGTTTTGCAATCAAATATTTGAATAGAAATGTAGACTCAACCTGCCACAAAGGCAAAAGAACGTAAAGGTATTGCAGCTGCCATTTGTACCATCTACTGTCAATCGCCCTGCACTTCAGAGGCCACCACAATAAGCCAGCTGGAGTGGATGGTTTGGATCAGAATGGTTAAAAGTGACAGTGATACAAAGGTGTCCGGTTCTGGATTATATTTTAATGGTAGACCCAAGAGAATTTGCCTATGGCCTGAGCAGTTATCAGAGAAAGAGGCAAAAATGAGGTCCTGAATTTTGTCCTGAGTACTTCAGAGAGTAGTACTGTACCGTTAGGCAGGTATTTAGACATTAGCAGGCCTAATAAGCGTAAAAAACCCAGGGGGTGGGGAAGGAGTGTCCTAAAATAGCATGGATTGCCAGTTAATTACAGAAAAATTTCAGTGTATAATACATTATAATCACTTGTTAGTTTTCCAACCTAAAATGATCCCACAAAGAATAATGACATTTGTGCATATTCCTTCTGATATCCGGCCATCTCAGAGCAAAGCATACGACATTCCTGGCTGTCATACCCTGCAGCCCAGTGGTATCAGGAAGGGAAATGTTCTTTCAAGATCTTCCTACCTTGGGCTG